AGCAAAGTATAAAAAATTTATCACTTCGTAACCAATTTGATGAAATTCTTGCTGAATATATTCAGTGGTCCCGGAAAATAAAAGTCGGCATATCGACCACGTGTACACATATATCTCCCGTTTTCATTATTCTCAGCTTCACTTTGTTGTGAACGAGGTTTATTTGTGCTGCTCCCTTTACTGAAAGTTCCTTTTGTTCCAGGTAAACCAATTCAGACCCTCGATGGATTTTGTTTTAGCAGTTCTATCCACTGAATGATTTTGTAAGTTTCTCTTTAAGTCTCTTCCTTATTAAAGTAGGAATTTGATGACACCTGTGCTTATGCTATCGAATACGGGAACTGAGAAAAAGGCTTTCAAGGGCTCGTTGGATCCGTCATGGTCAGACACATACATAGACAGTGGCTGAAGGACCGGACGAAGATTTGAGACCGGTATGCGAAAATCTAACAATAGATGCACTATCCATTCAGAGATCTGTGTGGTGATCAATCTTAAGGAGAAATTTAGACGAAGACTTATATTTACCAACTAAATGTCTTCTCTCTTCACAATACGTATAGATATTTGTTCACACTGACAGTTCACTGTCAACTCCTGTTGACGTGCTCTGCACGGAAACGCCTACGAGCATACCATTTGTTTTCGTTTCCGGCAAGTTATCGCGTTCCCTGATTTCCCATATCACAAACCAACGAAAATACATGTTAACGCGCACCGGTACGTTGATTACACTACGACTGCACAATGAATGCCGCCAACAAGCACCGAGTTTCTCTACAAGTTCCGGTTGTCAGATTCCTGTTGGCGTAATTCTGTGATCCGTAACAGCGGCTGTCATGATTTGTCCCTAGCCGACGTTCCATTGAATTCTGTGATTTACATTCAAAGATTAACGGAAATTTCAAAGGATGAGGACTGTACGGATGAAAATCTTGAAATTCTTGATTCAGTGGTGCACTTGTCTTCATCAATTGCGTGGTTCTGTACCGGTAAACTACATTGGATACAATTTCTCTGAGATGTCAAAAGCAAACATTTGCCTTATTGTGGAAGGTATAATGAAAGCATCATACGAAAATCGGTGTACTCCAAATAGTAGCTTTTTATCTCTTGATACTAATGTAGGATAATACTCATACCACGAAATGCACTGATTTCAATGAGCGGTTTACCTGTGCAGCACCTATAACGTGATTTGAACGTCCCATCTACACTAATGGCTGAAATACAACTTGAAGATTGAATATAATGGCAAGCAGTTTTGAAATGTTTATAAAAATATCATATTATATTTTCAATGAAACAAATACGGGGAAAAATCCCTTTTATTGATTTTTATTATGACTGAATTGAATGGACTCTTGAATTTCCACTTGACCTGAACAATGTGTGACCTTGGAGACTAATAATTTCCGGACTGCATCCCCAACAAGTGTCCCACTCATTCTGACTGAAACTTGATCTCACTTTTAAAACCTGAGTTTACCTGATACCATATTTCATTTCTAGTGAGATTTGAATGAATTTTCATCTAGTTTTGGCACTGGAAATAAGCGCTCACTAAAAGTGTGTTCCTGTGATAAAAATAAAATTCAAAAATGAAAGAAAATGTGTTCTGAATCCTCGAGTTACTGCATCAGATTCGTTTGAAACTTGTGAGAATTTACGCATTCATTTGAGCCGCGTCATGGGCAACCTGTTTTCCATCAGCTGCCTAATTTGTTTGAAAGCTTGCGCCTGATTATTAATTGCTGTGAATCTTAAAACTAATTCAAACTGATGAATTCACCGGTTCCGGTCCGTCCGCGTTATCGACCACAGCGACCACGAGCTTATCTAAATTAAGTACCTTCTAGAGAAAGGAGTGAAAAAGGCGCGGTAACTAGATTTCTTTTCGAAAGGAGAAGACAAGAGTAATAGTGATATTTAACCAGTCTGATAACCGAACAACTCACCGCATATATAAGTGCTCTCACACTGCTATAACCTTCAAGGAAAGAAAGTAATAAAGTTGCTTCAACCTATCATTTATTGCCAACGACTCAGTTTCTCTTAGAACCCTGGAAGATATAAATATATATGACCTTAATTTAGATCAGGTGCAATCCTAGGAAATCAGATCAGTCTGATCGTTTTGTCCTCGTTGAGTATGGAAACATACTGAATCGTTTTGGACGAAAAACCACCTCTATTCGGGCACCATACAAATTAAATCCTAATTTTTGTTAGGGCGGACTGAGCTTGCTGCCTGGATAGTAGGTTTCTATTGACTCCGGTGCCTAATGAGCCACAGTTATCTACAGATTCAGATTTTGTCGAGATACAACTGCGTTTTGGCCAAAATGGACGATAAGCAGTTACGAGCGTCTTGAAGCACGCACGGGATTTACAGCAATAAAATTACATTTTTTCACTTAGATGAAGTGCAACCGGATAGGTGGAAAACGTTTTTGGTTGAACTGAGAGCCCAAATTATTCAACAATTTTTAAAAGTGATTTATATTCTCCCCGGCTGTTGGATTGCCTGTACTTGCAATCGCTGCTGGCTGATTTTCTTCCGTTTTTCAGTCAATTATAACGGAATCAACCGAATTCCTCAGAATGGAAAACCATGGACTAAAATAGTCTCTAACGGGTCCAACCATACATTAGATCACTCATTGATACCCAGATCTGTATCCAAATTCAATTCTATAACACAATTTTATGATTAGAGGTGAGAAAGGTGGGATAGCTGTTCGAAAAAAATAATGTTCCGCTGTAAATCCCCGTATGACGCACAATAGAAAGTAATCAACTCTTTCGTCCCGCCGTTCTGTAATGATGATGTGAGAAGATCGTAAAATTGCAACTGAAGCCTAATTCCAAGCGCCCCGTGGGCATTTATCTGCTTTTATGAAAAGCACCAAAGTAGCTATATTATTCCTATCATATCTCCTTATTTGCTGCGCAAGAGAGAAAGCCAAATCTGTTTCATTGTTGTTGTTCCGTTCATAACGTATTGGGAATATTCATCAGGATTTGAATTACTCGCGAGTATGTGATCTGCACTTTTCTGTCTAATTTCACCATTGGAGTGAGAGATATAAAACCATATATGGTTAGATTATTATCCATATTAGACATACATTCTTCCAAAATTTACTTTATTTACTAGTCATAATTTTCAGATGCGAAATGAACCCAGTGATTTCTAAATTTGGGTCAGCAGCTCTGTGCGACACCTTTGCAACCTAAAGTTCTGACGCGGGTTAAATCTATTTTCTTGCTGATAAATTGTTAGTGGTTGTGATCCGGCTGATACCGCTCGATTTGCAAAATACTTTGTGATCCCCGAACGCTATTTGCTTGTCGATGGTCCACTTATTTCACGTGGTGGATTGTTCCAAGTAGTTAAGTCAAGCAAACGAAGCACGCGAGATAACGTTGTTTTAACCAATGATGAAACTCAGTTTTTTTCAATGGGAACGGCTGTTATAGAAGGCACTGTGCTCATGAGTGCTCCGCAACAATTTTGCAAATTGATAGTATTGGAAATAGTAATAAATATTAGTATTACAAAATGTTTTCTGTATAAGAAAATAGATCAAAAATAAATTCTAAGTTGATTGTTTCTATGGAAAAGATATTTGATCATAATGATCTAAATGAGCATTCGATACATAAATTATACTTCAAATGTTGTTCATTTGTACAATGAGCTATCGTTAATTTTCCGACAATGTTCGTGGATTGCTCTACGAACAGGATTGCGAACTTGGTTCAGGTGATCGGGTGCGCAACTGGTTATACATATAAATATGTATGCATAAGCAAGACCGCGCAACTAACTATTCCAACGATAATCTTATTTGTAAAAAGTTATTGTGGATATACCGACATAATAGCGATGTTTAATAATGATATGGACCTAGAGTTTGCCCATAATACGGACATCCTATTGATCAGTGAAGTGTGTTTGATCGCGTTTCATACTTCCAAAGAGTGACCGATGACCCATAAACTACTCTGTTTATAATGTGTTTATAAACCTCTCCTCAGGGGTTATCACTAACTTTTGAAATATTTCCCATTATTTAGTTGTACACTTGTTGGTGTCAAAGCGATAGGAACATGCACCTGAGTAATCAAAAAGGAGGAACACCTTGAATGAATGGAACATGAAATGTTTTTCATTGTGGGGAGTGCTCTATTGAACTGGACGAACACATCCCCTTCGCATTCCACACACAATTCTTGTTTAATTCACAAAGCCACGTGATGGTAATTCCCCTTATGAGGAGTTACTCGGTTATGCGTGTCTCACTATGGCCTTTGTTACGTGGTGAGACAGTAAATTTTTACCCACCGCATCAATTGTGACACATAAAAGTCAGTTTCCTCCGAGAAATTGGGCTCCAAAAGTGTTTCACCAAATTGGATCTGAAATAAGCATCATCCGAAAATATCAATTTGCTAGTCAAATTGGGATTTTAATTGTGGTATCTGCATTAAGGTATGAGGTGGATATTTTTCATTCAGCCCTAAGTTATTTTATGTGATGAGCTAATGGCTATATTTAGGGCTGGCGTGAGAGCGGCAGAGATAGTTGAACTAGTTTTACTATATTTATATTCAGAGACAGGTTCCAGATCATCTAATACTCCCCATAAATAACGGTACTTAATTCGACAGCAACGACTGTTGTGACATTTCTGATTTGCACGATGCTCTACTGATCTTAAAAAGTAAAATACCTGAATATTTTTCAACTGAGTTCAGCGATGCACCTTAGCATCGGGTAATATTGGTTTACTGTAACCCTGACTAAATAAGTTTCTACCAAAGTTCAAAGTGAAGTTCTCATCTGACTACTCACGGTGCAGTCACTGTGCTGTTTTATTTATCACGCCTATCAGTGATAAATTTAAACAGCAACAATGATGATCACTCCTTTTGTAAGCATTCTTATTTAACCTTCATTGAGTTTTTCTTACATCTCAAATTATACAAACCAGATTTGGAAACGATCCGGTGCATGGTTCTATAAAACTCTCCCTCGAAGTCAAATGGCCAGCTGCCCGACAAGTCCAACCGGATTGACCCGTACCCCGGCGCATGCGAACAGTCCAACCGATTTGGTTGGGCCTTCGCAACCGTTGAGCGAGACGGACAATAATGAGTGGGTCCAACTGCAACCTCGAAGTGAGCGCTCTGTTTGTGACCGAAATGGTAATTTCTGCAAACAATGCGTGACTGCTCAGCCTCATACTGTGTGCACGATACGCGAAACTGACTTCAACTCATTCATTGTGAGATAAAAAATTATCTAATATTTTTTTGTGGTCTAGATGTTACCTTGGAACCATTAGTGTAAGGCAAGTGGACTGTTCCTGATAGAACCAAAATCCCGGGTTAATGTAAGTCTTTCACCACTAAAAGCATTCATTGGTATGGTATACGATTTGGTGGTATTGTTGTTCCAAAGTGTAAATGAGGAAAGTTAATGTGATTGGTAAACGCGTTGGACGAGTGAGTGTACCAGTACCATTTATGTAGTCCTATTGCTTATGGTTCTTAATCAACTTTGCACAAAGTCTCCACGCCCAACTATGTTTTGTGTTCGTTCCAGAGCATTGTTGCGTATCAAATGTGCAATCCAAGCGAGATCTTGGTCGTGTTTCGTTCAAATCGAGTTTCGGTGCACTAACTTGAGAAATTTATTTTTTCTTGGTCAAGTTTAATCTTCGGTTCTGCTGGAGTCAGGAAGTTAAAATTAAAAAGAGACCAAAAGATAATCGGCATATCATATACCCCAGACACTAATCAATAACGGAACTCACTAGGTTGTCATGTCTGACCAATAGCTCCTTGAGTGTGATTTCGAATACCTGCAGATATAGTGAATAAGCACCGTCAATAATTCATAACTAACAGCGGAGGAGTGATTTGATGGTTTTCCATGGTTTATAAGGCGCCAATCTCCACCAATGTTCCATTTTACCCTATTGATTGTCAAGTTTGAATTTAGAACTAACCTGTCCAAAAAACGAACTGTATTTTGCATATCAAATTAACATATATGTAGGGGTTATTTGCTCAATGGAAGCATAAAATAGTCGGAGAAATAGTCCACGGCCCTAAAGCCGTGTGCAGTACTTCTGGCCGTCATCATAAATTTATCATTCATCAGATCGCTAGTCGTGAAACCGGTATTAATTTTCACAGTAAGCGCAAACTGATAGCTTCATAAATTTCCCACCAATTTATTTTTCATGGAAAGCAATCTCAGTAGTACTCATACACAGTCATCCAACTGCCCTAGAAAGACTATAAATAGTTTCGGGAAGCAGAACACACCGTCAAACTGAACTGAACTTTCAGTTGGTCAGAGGAGCGTTTCGGAGAAGGAGGAGCATTTCGTGTGGGCATGAGCTTGGTGTGACCATTTCGTTAATCTGCACTCGACATGTTTCATCGAACTAGTTATTACGCTCAATTCAACTGGATTACTGGAATTACTGAATACCATTTAATAAACGATCCCATTTGGCCAAATGCAATAATGCTCAAGTTTATTCACGCCTACTTAGAGTATGCGGGGGAAAATCGTCGAGCTACGAATAACCAATTTGAAGTTGCATTTCCTTTTCATCCCGGGGGGAAAACTGTTTAACCTGCATCGATGACATATCAAAAAAATAAATGAAACAACACGTTGCACATCTTTGTGATACAGAGTCAAAAGGACGACACATTTTAAAGTTATTACTATGAAACGGCGGATATGATGGCCACACAGAACCCTGAACGCATACACTTGAATCCTGCTATCATCACTACGATCAACATCACCCACATTTCTACAGTTTTTCGTTCCCCTTTTTGACCATGGGGTTCGCTTATCGTTCACTGTTGTGAAGGATAAAAACATCAATTCTTTTGAATTTAGGTATGCACAAATACTTTGAGAGAGTATGGTGCATAACAAATCGCCATCGAACAACAGAAAATCATATTATTATATAATTATAATAATTATAATTATAATTGTTATTATATAATCTTTATATAACTACCAACTTCCGAATCAACGATAGCAACACAGATGCGTGATTCCTTTTGAGAAGAGTAAAAGGCGGCCTATAAGAAAATGCCACACAATACCACGTCACTTATGGACTTGTTTAAGCGAACGGATACTTCTGGATATTTTCGAACCATTGAGCCACGGATATCACCTTACTGATTGATGTAACATTTTCACACTTAGTAACGCGACTGTTTAGAAGCTGAACACTAGGTTTCTCTAGTCAAGCAATGAAATGCTTGCATTATTCACACGTATGTTGTGGACAGACCAAACTGGATTAGAAGTTTACATCAATTTCCTTGCAGGAACAGTTCAGGTAATAAAATTCGTTTTCTCATTGTTTGAAGTGGGCTGAACTAACTTCGCTTTGAGCTGCACGTAAAACAGTAACGCTTAAATTTCGAGGCACACTGGCAACCAATACGCAGCAGAAAAACCACCCGAAAACATTTTGAGCGTGTCACAAAGACAACTGACTTGTACTTGCTGATGGCAAGTTTTTTTTGCTGGAGTTTTAAATGTGATTAAAAACAATCCATGTTTAGAGAATCTGCTTATTACCTGATCGAATATTTTGTTGGGGTCTGAAAAGTGACTGAAACAGTGGTCAATAAAAAGCAACGGCCAAACTAGAAGGATAGACGTCTGATGCGTGCTGACAGAATAGCAACCGCCATTATGCGAACTCATACACGCAAATAATATTATTTCCGCCACAGCTTTCTTCATTTTCCTAATTAGTGCAAGTAATTGACTTATTAGTTAGTAGGCCTAGTAACTGCGAGTACGTTAGATTTTTTCAGATTATTTCATGGCCCATTGATTCTATTTATTTGGATTGATTTTTGGGACATAGAGGCTTGGATTTCGTGAATTGTATGTACCTTTTTTGCTGGGTCTTACCAACCTCAGAACACGGTGGTAAGCTTGTTGGTGCGAAACTCTGCAAGATTGAATCTTACGTTTAACTCAAAACAAGTCTCCGATCAAAGAAGTTTCGCTTCATGGCGTGAGACAGTCGCGAGGTAGTAAAAAGCTATCTTTGCTAAAAACTTATCAAACCTTATCGGTTTTTTGTATGTGAAAAATAAGGATTCAATGTTGTGCACATTGAAGATTACAGAGATGATCATTTTCCGAATATGCCAACCGGAGAGGATGGCTGACGGAAATGCTGAACTTGGGGAACACACAGTCCCCCTACCGTGTACATTCGCTTAGGAATAATTAAGTTTAGAACTTGTTCACATTTTATCCAGCGAGTTTGTGTTAACACACACTCCACATGTCGTTCGGACTAGGTGTAATTGCTGTTTAATTAGTGAAATTACTACTGAAGATAGCGGTTTGAATCATTCTGGTGGATTATTGAACCAATGAAAGGCGAAATCAAACCGACAATGAATAAAAAGAGAGCGATCTCAAGTCGCACTATGTCAGGCTTTGCAAGAACTGGTCATTCGAAAGACATTTACGCTGGTTTCCCAGAGTGTCGGACGTGGTATAAAACGGATGAGGACATTAGCAACCACCCACCAATTATTATTTACCTCTAATAATCTCGCTTTGTGTGCACAGAGCAATTTAGTTTAATCACTCCAATCTCTACGAGCAAAACCCGAGTGTGTAACCCACGAACCTAGCTTTGACGTAGGCTAATTATCATCGTTACACCAGTAGTTTCCGGTGAGATCGATTCACCTATCTTCCCCGGTTTCGAGCTGATTGCGTGAGATGTTTGCTTCCTGATTCTTCCAGCATTTTTATACCTTAATAGGGAAATACATTCAAAAGCTATGTGCATGTCAGCACTGTTTAACCCAGCTAGCAGAAGAAGTTATCAGCGCTCATTCTGCTCAAAACTCCTCCCCGATGACAAAACAAAATAATTACCGTGAAAAACAAAACGATCATATTATGGCAATGATTCGAAAAATGCCCAAAGCCTTTTTAAAATAATTGCAAACGTGTCCCTTACGCAATGAATGACGGGGATTTACTTTTCCGCTACTGTAAAATAATGTTAAATTTTGATTCTGGTTTCTTAGTTGTTGTTTTGAAGAAACGAACTCCTAAGCAAGTTTCACGCTTTACCTGATGAATAGACGGAAGCTGAATAACTGT